AAAAAAAAAAAAAAAAAAAAAAAAAAAAAAAAAATTGGACCTCATTGGGCCTGGCGGGTCATTGAAGGCAAGAATATATTTGCGATGTTATGGAGCTCGTCTTCCTTGGTTAAGAGGAGGGATTTTTTTCTGGGTTGGCACAGCACATCTCTAGAAGTTGCAAGAAGACAGAGGGAGGGAGGGAGGGGGTGTGTGGAAGGAGGAGTGGGGCACAGTATTGTTTGGCACTCTTCAATGAAGATGGTGTTATAGCTGAGTGGCAAGACACCAGGTGTATGTAACCAATGGAATTTCGTTGCTGCAGTTGTTAGGATTGATTGTCAGACATTAGTTCTTTCCTGTACCATAAATGGAAGCAAAACCGAGTTTAGTGAATTTCATGAGCAAATGAAATTCCCTCCACAAAGGGGCATCTTGTTTATATGAGAATGGTGAAAAACGACAGGAGGATTGAGGAGGACGAGAGGTATTGGGACAGTGGGATTGCAGTGCGCATCGTATACCTCTCTTCTCCTAGTTCTCTCATCCTTCTTTCTCTCTTTCACAATTTCTCCACTTCCTTGTCAACGTTCAACCCAATTTCTAATGCGCTCATGTTTGAGATTCGTGCTTATGCCGGAGTACGGTTAAGAGGGATAGAAGGAAGGCCTCTGGTGGATGATCCCAACCAGCGCAAAAGGGGTCTTTTGAGGTATTGGAACCACAGCTATGGGGTAACTGGCAGTTCGTCTGAGGCTGTGCTGAAGCCTTTCGACTCGTAGGCCCGCGATTGGACAAGACCAGAACGACGCTGGTCAGTGCTGGGGCTTGGTTACGCTGCCCTGTAACCCGAGCTATACGGGGGCATGGGACCTGGTAGAGAGATCTGGGAAGTGTCGAGGGTGGAAGGCACTCCAGTGGCTGTTGGTGAGCTGGTACCTAGACGATGGTGGTCGGACCTGAGGCGGGTCGCTTCGCTCTGTAACCTAGCAGGTGGGGAGCTGTTCTGGGGTGGGTCATGCCACTCTGTAACCTAGTAATTGGGGGTGTGAGGCCTGGTAGAGACTAGGTATCGAGGATACGGGGGCTGGGGCAGGCTTAGAGTTGGGTGGCTGATGGGTACCACGGTATTTTGGTTTCGGATTGAAAACCCCTACGGAACATGAATTGAGGTCTTCTCACAGCTCTTCTGATTTTTAGATTTCTGCATGAATATTCAATATTCTTAATTTTCTTTGATTTTTTCTTGATTGTTTCTCAGCCAAAGCCGGTAATGCCCCGGTACTTCAGATGTTTTGTATAACTTCATACGGGACGCTGGACCCGGTTCAGCACGTGCTGCTCCCCACAAATAGATTGGAGCAGTTGTCCCAAAAAAAAAAGAAAAAAAAAAAAGATTATTTCTTATGTTTCCTTGAATGGAACTCGAAGAATCAGAGCATCAGTTCTGGAGCCCCTTCCTGTCCACCTGCCTGTCGGTAATCACGGCATCCATCAGATGAGTCCAATTCTTTTGCGTTCAGTGGACTTCTGGGGATTGGCTGGATCATCCACATTGCTGGTATGCCCAGCACACAATGGCATGCAAAGCAATCAAGTTGCACATCATTGATCGTACTCACTTGCAAAGCCAAAAACTTTGGCTGTTTGTGCTCTCCCTTAGCAAGGTTAAGCTGCTCCAACGTGTAGTCTGCACCAACCTCTTCAAGCACAGTCAAAATCCTCCTAGTGCATGTAGAAATGGGTAAACCATACACCTTGTACGTCATCTTTGCCAACGACACGGTCAAATGACAAACTGATCGGGAACCAGGTTCAACCACCCCTCAGCTGAACTTCCAGGTACCACCACAAGTTCCGACGAAATTTGAACTAGTTTCAAGCAGCTGCTCAGTTGGTTCCAAAGTTCTGGCAAGCATCGAGTAAATAATCAACTTCGAAGAAAAAAACCGCAAGCCATTTCTGATAAAAATGCAAAGACATCAAAATTCCAAGCCAAGCAAGTTCCAAGTAAGTTTCAACCAAGTGGCAAGCAAGTTCCAACTGAGTTCAATGTAGGTTTCGCCGCAGGTTCCAGACAGACCGCAAGCACACTGTCAAGACCATTTCTGATAAAAATTCAAAGACATCAAAATTCAAAGACATCAAAATTCCAAGCCAAGCAAGTTCCAAGTAAGTTTCAACCAAGTGGCAAGCAAGTTCCAACTGAGTTCAATGTAGGTTTCACCGCAGGTTCCAGACAGACCTCAAGCACACTGTCAAGAAGGTTCCATGCAAGTCGAGCAAGTTTTCGTGCAAAGTTCAAGACAATTCCCAGTTAGTTCCAAGGAAAGTTCCAAGGTATGTCCACAAAGATTCCAAGAAAAGCAAAAACCAGATTTCAGACATGAAGAGGCTCTGATCCATTCCAAGGAGGGATAAGACTGTCACTATTTTTCTTCATTCAGTTTCAAAGCATTGCTGTATATGTGGGACGCTGGACCCGGTTTCCAGCAGGTGCAGCTCCCCACCGATGGTAGAGTGACCTGAACGGTTTCTAGTAGGGGGGGATGCTCGTACCACTCGCCCTATTAGGACCTGGAGAGTCTTTGGAAAAAAAAAAAAAAAGGATCAATCTTCAAAAGCATGCATGCATACACCGTGCTCCCCAGTGGAGGAATTTGAAAGGAGGGTAACAGGGATTCCAAACATGATCGGTACTTCCACAGCCTTGGATCTCTCCGCATGACAGCACACGGATTCAAACCGGCACCCATGGCCTCAATTGCCAAGCATCGTAACATGGTGTTCAAAACCATACCGACCTTGATCCAACCCCTGCATGGCCACAGTGTCCGTCCTTACACACACACAGAACACCACACACGGCAATCTCGCACACACGTGCTCTTCATCCAGCACATGATCCTCAACCACAAGGGGCCCTCTCCCCCAACTGCCACCCACTCCTGGTATGCTTCCCAGGTAGGTTATGTACAAACAGTACTTCCATAGCCTTGGATCCCTCTGCATGACTGTAGTGGACCTCTGGTTGGCCTGTGAGACCAGCCCCTTGGCCTGTTCTCACAGGCCTATGTTCTATTTGGGGCGGGGCAGTCCAGTCCAGGCCGGTACCTCTGTCAGTACCAGCCAGTCCAGTCCAGTCCCGTCAGTCCGCTGGGGTATACCCCAGCTGTTGTCTGTTTTCCGATTCATTCTGCATTCACACACTTTGGAGTATGTGCGTTGGAGTCTGGCGTGGGAGCTGCGCTGTGCCATCTCGCTCCCCCTTCTTCCTCCATCTCCATCTCTATCCCCGGCGGAGCACCACACCTGGTGGGTCCGCCACACTGGTATCGGAGCGCGAACATTCCCCGCTCCCCCCCACCCNCCCGCCTCCATCTCCATCTCTATCCCCGGCGGAGCACCACACCTGGTGGGTCCGCCACACTGGTATCGGAGCGCGAACATTCCCCGCTCCCCCCCCCCACCGCACAGTAGGGAAAACAGCAAAACCTGACAGGCGGGTTTTTTCGCTGTTTTTCGGGCAGTTTTCGGCGAAAAGTAAGGGGGAAAAAAGGTGCAGCAGGGAGTGACACGTGGCGAAAAAGGGAGTGCCGCCACAACGCGTGCGCCCAAGGGCCAACGCCAAGGCCGACGCACACGCACGCGCCACGTGCCCACCCTGGCCCGCCCCGCCCCCATAATTATATTATCAAGATCCGGGATCTTGCTACCGCTGGGGTTTGAACCCAGGCAGTTGCTGGCCTTGCGCGTGCGTGGCTACTCTCGTAACACACTCGCCATACTGTACATATGGTTTTGTAATGTGGCACGTTGTTGTTGAAGAGGTACGTGCCAGCTATTTACCCCCCCCTCCCCCCCCCCCCCGGCGAGCAGCGACCAGCAGGGCAGCAACTGTCGGGCTGCTATTTGCCCCCCCCCACCCCCTGTGGCTGCTGCTTGCACACGTGGCCATCTGCTAAGTGTATTGGTGGGGATACTGCCTGTTGTTCATTCGGTTACTGTTTTTTTTTTTTTTTTTTTGTGACACTGGACCTGACCTGCCTCACTAGTAGCATGGGGCCTTCAACTTAGGGCAGGTCTTCCCCATAGAGGTACTCCTACCACGACGGGAAGGAAGGGTTTCCTTTGATGTCCCCTCGCCATATAAAATAGTCTCCAAAGCTCTTACCAACCGCTTGCTTCCACACATGAACCACTTGATCTACCAGGAACAGGCCGCCTCACACGCACGCACCACGTGCCCACGCTGGGCGTGCTGCCCCGCCCCGCTCCGCTCTCAGATTTATATTATCAAGATCCGGGATTTTGTTGCCGCTGGGGTTTGAACCCAGGCAACTGCTGGCCTTGCCTGTTCGTGGCTACTCCCGTAACACACTCACCATACTGTATGTATGGCTTTGTTGTGTGACAGGTTGTTGTTGAAGAGGTGCGTGCCAGCTATTTACCTCCTCCCCCCCCGTGTGGCTGCTGCTTGCGCACGTGGCCATCTGCAGTGCCACGTGGCAGTCTACTATGAAGACTGAAGACCCCCTTGGCCAGGGGGCTGCGCCGCATTAGTTTTTTTGTACTATTTTTCCACAGCTGCAGCAGCAGTTTTGCAGCAGCTCAAGCTCCCCCCCCCCTGACTAGGGGGATGTGTGACTGTGGCAGTAGGGTGGCTGATCAAGATCTCAGCCAACCCTAGATCATCATCATCATCATCTGCTATTGCTGTGGCATCAGGCCAGCAGCACCTTGAAGGCCAAGATCCTGTGGATCTTGGTAGTGCTTTGCTCTTGGCCAACGAAGAGCCTGGTATTATCTCTCTCCGCTAACCTACCCTCCCCCAACCGTTTTCTCTCCCCCCCCCATCATCTAATCATCCTTTCTAGCTCTACCACTAGCCCCCCTCCTCCCACCTCCCTCTTCACTCATCTCCCACCACCTTTTTTTCTCCTTTCCTCCCCACTCACCATCTTCTACTAATCTTATCTCCCTCATCTCCCACTTCACTCCTCTCTCTCTCTCACCTATTTCTCTCTTTTTCATCACTTTTTCATCCCCTTGCCCCCCCCCTACTTCAAATTTTTCTGTTTTTCTTCTTTTCCCTTTCTCTCTGATTCCAATCTTCTCTTTTCTCCAAAAATTGGAATTATCTTATTTCCCCCCCTCCCTTCTCATTTTCTGAGTTATTTTATTTTTTCTTTTATTTATTATGAAGATTCGGATTTCTTTGCAGCACCCTTAAATCTGAGTAGGAGTTGGTCTTTCTTGCTTTCGGCACATATTTTGACCCCGTGGGGGTAACGAAGTGCTGCCGAAATTTTCTATTTTTTAATTCACTTAGTCTTTTTCGGCACACTTCGACCCCATTGGGGTAACGAAATGCTGCCGAATTTTGTGAAAAATCAGATACTTCATTTTTCTCCACCTCCTCACCCACTTATTAACTTATTTATTTATTTATTTATTTATTATTTATTATTTATTTATTTTTCGAAATTTTTAATTTGCGGCATTTTGAAACCTAGTGTGCTTATCTTGGTCTCTCCTTTCCCCTTGGCACATTCTTGACCCCATGGGGGGTAGGGAAATGTTGCTGAAAATTCTAAAAAAAATAAATATTATTTCTCTCTTCATATTTGTTTCCTTATTTCTTCAATTATGTTTATTATTTATTTATTTTCTTATTTATTTTTATTTTTCTCTCAAAATTTCGCTGTTTATTTATTTTTCCTCCCGCCTTTACCCTCTATGCTTGCTATTTTATTTTCTTCATTAGGTCACCGGTACACTAACCTAACCACTCACGCTCCGGTTAGGGTTTTCTTAGGTTTTTTTCTAGGGTTTTCTTAGGTTTTTTCTAGGGTTTTCTTAGGTTTTTTCTAGGGTTTAGGGTTTTCCTAACCCCCCTACCTTCCCTTCTCATTCGGCCACCCTGGATCCGAACCACCCCTCCCCCTTTGAAGGCGTCCGCGCTCGATTTATTAGCGCCGCCCGTCGACTTCTATCGCAGAACTCCCCCTACGCCCTCCGCTCACGCGGACCTCGTCCGACCCTCTCTACTCCGACCCGTTACCTCCCCATTGTTGACGGCGTGTCGCAAGCCGCCTCAGCGGCGACGACCTTGACATCGGGCTCCACACCCGTGCCGATAGACAAGGGTCATCAGCCCCAGGGGGATCTGCACACCCTCATTACCTCCCTCCTTGCGCCCTTACAGGCGCAAATGGCGACTCTTGCCACTGGCCTGCGGCAACTCCGGGACGCTGGCTGTCCTTCCTCTCTCGACTCTCTCTCTTCTCCTGGCTCCCAGTTCGGGTCCCTCGTCCTCCGACATGGTGGCCACGGCGGAGCTTCCTCCTTTGCCGCCCCTGACCCGACCATCCTGGTGATCGTCCACGCTCCTAGCACGACGGCCGCCAGGGGCCAGAACCTCCCTCACTTTACGGGCTCACCCGCCTAGATTCCGGTCACTACGGCCACGGTACCACAACCCACTACCATGGTCTCAGCCTTTCCGGGTGCCCCGCTTCTCCCTCCCCTTCGCACGACCACATTGCCACCTGGCTCTCCTCCTATGGGATGCCCGACGCCGCTCATGCGTCCACTTCCCCCACTTTTCCTCCTGCCACTTGTCGCTCGATCTACGTTCAACGTCTCGAGGACAAGCTTGCCCAGACCCAGGCCGACCTCGCCCTCTTACGCCTTCAACCACCCCCACGCTCACAGGTGTCCGCGCCGTCGAGTGCACCCCCTTCTTCATCTACTCTTCCATTCTTGTCGGCTCGCTTCCCCCGCCTTGCACCCTCTCCACCCTCATCCTACCTCCTTCCTACTCCCTTGGCGGC